GAAAGACCTCAAATCATGCTGAAGTCTTGTCAAATAACAGTAAGTTGAAAATATTCAACCAGAATAAGAGGAGAAATAAGACTATCCAACAGAGGATTAAAACATCAAGCCATGATGAGGAATCTGTGGGTAATGAAGAACATAACCCTGCTTCATACCTGCCAGTCTTTTCCTTTTCCTGTCCTGGCAACAAAAAGAAGAGGAGCAGGATCTCAGATAAGAATTAAAATGCTTCTTGTCCGAACCAGTGGACCTGCTCTTTCTTGAGGCTGCTGAGTGAAATCATTTAGCAGGGTTGCAAAAGGGCTGGATACTATGTGGGTGTTAATAGCATTTGCAGCTATGTAAGCAACAGTAACAACAGCAGAGTAATCAAATCTCATCCTTCAGAGGGGAAACTGATCACCTGAGTGAGGCTGGGATTTCCCCCTTGCACCATTGCCAGCTACCTTTGCAGGCTGATTGAAACATCGAGTGCTGTCTGGGGCCCGGGGCACGACAGTGGCTTGGTGGATCTAATCTCTGAATACACAGAGCAGCTCTGGTCACGCTCCTGCCCCGAGGCCTGATAGCTCCCCGGGTACTGCTGCCTGTTACCTCTGGCTGTGGCTTTCTGCTTTTTTAATTTTTTTTTTTTTTTCTCTCTTAAGCTGGGCTTCAAGTGCATTGCATAGCTGAGGAGAGGCAGACATGGCCCCAGGCCCTGACCAGGGCCATGTCAAGAATCATCTTCATCTTATTTTCTCTTGCTACAGCTTTTCTGTCTCTTAATGGTTGGTTCACTGGCTCTGTGGGCGACTGGCTCCAGACCGGCTGCCTCTTGTGTGGGTTTCTGTTGTAGGATGCAGCATCTGTCTCAGTCTCCACTTCAACTTCTTTGCCTTTCTTTTGTGTTCACCTGCCTCTATTTCCAGAAGAAAGCTCAAGTACTGGGGGCTTCCCATCTTGAATCCAGAAGGGCAGTTGAGGGTCAACCCTGGTGGGCATTTGGGTCCTCATCAGGCATCTGCCAGCTGTTTCTGATGGGAACAGTGTCAAAAAGGGTGACTTTTCCCTGAAGAAGAACCTTCATGGTTCTGGGCATTGGCTGATCCCTATGAGGCTTGAATCTTGGACCACCAGAGCACAGAAGTAGAAAGAAAGGTGCAAATCTGCTTGCAGAAAGGGTGTCAGCCAAGTGCCTGGTTGTAGATATAGGGAAAATGTCCTGGAGGTTGGAGTGAGGATAAAAAACACAATTTGGGTGCACTCTGGGCAAAACCCCTGCCATTTCCATGAACCTATCTGCCCTTCTGTCCCTCTACAGTGTCTCTGAGAACATCTTCTTGCACAAAATCCCCATCTACCATGCTCTGGTGCCCGCTGTGCCATCGCAGACAGGGATGGGGAAGGGACAGGTCTGATGTCACACCATACATGGTTCAACTGCAGAGTCCTGGAAGCATGGATACATCTCTCTCCCTGGGCTGTGCTGTGCTGCTTGTGTAGCCACCAGCCAGCTCAGCTGGGAAAGGTGGCCCATCAGAAAGCCATGTGCCCTTCTTTCCTGTGGGATGGATTTTGGGTGAATCACTGCTCTGAACCATCAGCGGGGAGGCTGGTCCTTATGCCAAGGAGGGCAGAGTCTGTGGCAGCAAGGCTGGCTGCTGCTCTTGGCAAACTGTGCCTGCATCAGTGTTGCCTTCCTTGGAGGTGTTTGGGGTGAAAAAATAGCCTTGGAAAACAACTGATGTGCTGTGGGAGGTGATGGGAAATGCTTTGGGAAGTGATCCTCAGAAGAGAGAAAGACCAAGAGCTGGCTGGTGCATCTGTCTAACAGACTAATGGCAACAAAGCCTGGGCCAACATCTTCACCTGGCTGTGAGACAGGCTATTCCCAGGCCTTTGATTTCCTACTTTATGTTTTTTTCTGCCCTTTCCCATCCTAACCAGAACTGGTTTTGTAGAGGGGCTGGAGCGAAGCCATCAAAGCTAATAGTTCTGGCGTTCCTTCTTGGTAATACTGAAGTGTTTGCTGAGGTATTTTAGTTCTAGACTGCTGATTTTTTCCAGGAGTAGTCTTGTTGACTTAAAAATAGCCATCAAGGGAGTGCTTGGGCCAGCTGAGCTCCTGAGCAGTGCTCATGGAGAGCTTGAGGAAAGGCTGAACCTGTGGCTGAACCTTGCTCAGATGCTCTTGAGATGGAGCAGTGGATGTAGCCAACGGCTTCACTCTCCAGCTGTTGCACAGGAGTGGATACATACCTGAAAGGCAATGTCTTGAATCCTGTGACCTGTGCTGGGGAGAAAACCTTCATCAGCAGTTGCCCTCCGGAGGTGTTTTGACTGCAGGAAGCTGGAGGAGATCTGTCTCCTCCTAGCGAGGAAAGCACGTGCAAAGCCAGGTCCTCCAAAGCCAGCGTGTCCAGTGGAGATCCCTAGGGAAAAGTCAATCTTTTTAGAAGGAACTGGAGTGCCAAGAACTCTCTCTGAGAGGGTTTATCCTATTATTTTCTGAAAATCATTTCCTATCATGCTGGAGAATGAGCTTGCCAAAGCACAAATTATACCCAGCAAGGAAATCACTGCCTCCAGATTAATTCATAGTTCTTTTGTCTCTTCCATGTTTGGCTGATGTAAACGTTAGGTAAATATTTGTGCAACACAGAGAATTGCCTCCCTTTCTTCTCTTCTCCAGGGGTCAAAGAAATGTCAACCATGGCACTGGTGTGCAGCCAGGCTTCTGTGTTTGCTGCAAGGCAGGCTCCGTGCCAGCCATGGGCAGGAGCAACCAGAGTGGCTGCCTGTGGTGGCCAACATCCTCTTCCCAGGAAAAGCAGGTTCCCCAATGCTTTGTCCAGAACTTATTCCACAGGGCAGTGAAGTGCTGAGTTTAACAATGAAACCAAATAATCTCTCCCCCCTGCACAAAAGAAGAAAACCTGCCTCTCTCGGCATCCTCACTCAGTGAATGTCTAGGGCTGAATTGCCCTTGTTTTATTTTTCTTCCTGATTTACTTGGTTCCTCCCTGATTTAGCCAGTGAGACTTCAATGATCCTTGTGGGTACCATCCAACTCAGGATATTCTATGATTCTGGGTCTCCCTTCTGAAAAAAAAAAACAAAACAACCTGGTGTGCTCTCCCACTAATATGATGAGCCCTCAAAGTAGCAAGTCCTGAATTTCACACAAACTACAAAGTCTGTTTCAGCCCCATTCCCAATGGGACCGTGTGTCCAACTGCAGGACACTCACAAACAGTGGTTCTGTCTCATTGCTCTGAACAACGTGGAAACTCACCAGTTACACGTAAAATTATGTAGACACCAGAATTTCTCCTTTCCCATGGCAGTCAGTCCTTGAAGCACAAGATGTGCTTGGCTGCAGTAATCAGTAGATTAATCACACAGCGTCTGACTGAAAAATCTTCTGCAGAAGATAAATGCTGATGTTGATATTTTTAGCCATAAATTGAAATGCATAGCTTCAAATCAAAGTCTGGGGGTGAGATGATCTAGATCAGAAATTTGTGACTGTTCAGCATCTAACGGGGCCCGAACAAAACACACATCCAAGCCAACGCCTGCATCAGGAAAGCAGAACACCCTAGTTGCCTCGAGTTTTGTCTCTTAGTTGAATCTGTGACTACTTTCATGTTTTCCACACTTCTTGCACTTTCTTCTCAGTAATTGTTCCCTTTGATCACCAGATCATAGGAGGCAGCTTCAACATCTTCACTTTTCTACTCACCTCTGCCAGATTCCACAGGACCCAGATTCATGAGTAAGGAAAGACAGAGGTTTTCAACCCAGTTTGTAGGTGCAATAACTGGCCAGGGGAAGATGAGTGAGTTGACTGAAGATGGGTATGCTGGCTCTGAAACAGCAGATGTTTCCCCAGAAGTGGGCTGTTCTTCATCCTCAGAGCATGTTCCTGCTATTTCTGGCTGCAAGAACGGTGCAGAGGGCTCAGACCATTTGTCTAAGTTTGTTGGACTTGAAGATGATGGGATGGTTCCCTTTACATACAGCCAACTTCTCTCAACCTCCTAGAGCTTTGGGGATGATTTCCAATTTTAAAGAAAGTGGGTAGAAAGCCTGGCTCTGCTCCTTGGTACATGGATATTGAGTTGGTTTGCCACCAGCTGGGAATGGGTTAGGGCTTGTGGAGGTTTTGGCACTTGCCCTTCATGATGAAGCTGTCATCATGTGTGGGCACAGCACTGAGGTGCTGGCAGGCTGGTTAGTTGCTGACTAAGTGCCAAAGTGTTTATCAAATCTGAAAACCACATGGTGTGAGCCACTGAAGCACTGCTGGGAGGCTCTGCTCACCAGCACTGTCTTATCAGTGACATGGGCAGTGGTCACAGAGAGCTACAGTGTTATGCTGCATCTGCTCATCTTTTCCCTTCTAAGCCCAGGAGGCCGCCAGAGTTGTAGAAGGAAATCAAGATTGATCCTAACCTCTGGATTGAGCAGACTGGGATGGGAGGGGATGCTAATATTTTAGACATTGCAGCATTCTTTGCCATAATTTCCTTCAAGAAGAGAGGATTGATAGCTTTTACTGTGTAAATAAAATAATAATATATACGAATAATATGCTTTTGATGGTTAAATTAATTAGTAATCTAGTTATTGTCTTATTTTTCTTTGACATTGCTAGTTAATAAAAATTGATGTTCTTTAGTTTGACCACTGGGATTATGTGAGTAATCTACAAAGAGGTTCTCAGTCCTATGGTGATTAATGAAGTCTCTGACGTGTTTTGAAACTATGATGAATCTTTAATATAAGTATTAATAAGAAGGAGGGAAGAGCTTTTGAGGAAGATAAAGGCAATTTCTCTCTCCGTATCGGTCTGCCAACTCCAAGTAGCATAAACAACTCCTGGTCTCTGCCAGGCAATTTCAGAGAGTTAGAGGTCTCTCAGCTTTGGAAAGAACTGGTTTATTCTGATAACTGTGGTGGTTTATTTTATTAGATGTTTTCTGACACCTCTTTCTGTTTCCTCTGTACAGGATACGAAAACTGGAGGGAGCTGGCTAAGGTTCTGTCAGACACCAATGTCCCAGGTGGGGACCCAAGCCTTCAGTTTTACTATCCACAGCAGCCAGGACACCAGGTGAGGAGATTTGGGATGCCTTCTGAACATTTACAAGGGTGAACCTTCCTTTCTGATGCTGGCCCCAAGAGACAGCTCTCTCTTTATGCAGGAAAGAGAGCTCGCCACGGGGCAAAATCTGAGCTGACTCACAGCAATATGAATGTACAATGACTCCAGTGTAGTCAGTTAAGTTATTTTAGATGTACTAAACCACAGCAGTGGGCTGAAGCTGACTGGATCTGTGGCACAGGAAGGTAGCAATGAGCAAGACAGAAGCAGAAATGAAAGGTCAGGAGAGAGTTTGCTGCTCTCTAGTGAAGCACGTCTTGGTACTTTTGCCTAAAGGCAGTGTTGGAAGAACTATTGCTTGGACATTTTTGAAACAAGGATGGGAAAAAAAACCACCAGAAAGTGACCTAAGTTTTAACTCTGTGTTAGCAAGCTGTTATAAAGTATTGATGTCCTTTTCCCTCAGTAGCTCACCTGAAATGTGCTGTCAAACAAGCATTTTCACCCCACCATGGCCATGATAACTGGCCTGTCCTTTGGAAAGGGAACTTGAGAACTTGTTTTTATTTTCTCATGTTCTTATAACCAGGTTTGAGCCTTCTTGTTTAGATGTCAGTGCTGTGTCATTTATTGGGTTACTTTGAGTTTCCTCTACTTGTATTTCAGAAGCAAGAGCTGCAAAGAGCTGGGAGGAATAAATCGAATTATGCGACTGTGGACGACCCTGTCCCATGGTTGCCAGAGGTGGGTGCTTTTCTCCATTGTTTTGCATGAGGGAGGTGTAGGTAGAGACTTGTACAGCAAGAATGTAAGGCAGGGACATCTGCCTGGAAATTAATTCACTTTACGGGAGCTCTGTCCCCTATCACCCCCTCCCTGCTTAATGACACTTACAGACCTGAGTAATCATCCGGAAAGACAGGTGTGTCCAGATTCCAGATAATTTGGTTTTTGCACTAGTCATCAAGGCACCAAGCACCCACCTACAATTCCCTGAGAGCAGGCAGCCCACTGCCTTCCGGAAAAGTGAAGTTTATTCAGGTCTGGGGTGCGTAGGGCCAAGCATTCGACAAGAGAATACATGATTGTGGCACGCAGGAGTGTCACGCTCTTGCTCTGGCATTTGCAATCCAACCCCTGTGTGTCATACATAGAGATTTCTCCACTTCAGTGACACTTCAGTGAACAGAGACCTTCTCTGGTGACCCTTACAGACTGAGGTAAACACCCCCTTTGTTTCCTTCATGCCTCGTTTATTCTTTCCTCCCCTGCTCCCTTATCTCATCATTCCTCTTCAGATAAGGGAGCAATGCAACCTGCTTCTAATGAGAGGCCCACCAGCCTGGGGGCATTTAGCTAATGGAACCGGCTCACTAAATTCCTCAAGGTGATTAGAGACCTGCACAAATTAAAGGGCCTCTGCAGCTCCCCTGTGGAGCGAGCCGGCTGCTGGCCCTGTGCTCAGGATGAGATTGTCACTGGTGATGGAGGAAAAGCGTGTCCCTCCAGCATTGCAATGAGCAGTTCATGTCCCTGCAGCATGAGCTAAAGCTTTCCTGGAAGTAGCCAGCACCAGTCACCTTCCAGTGCCCAGAACCAGACCAGACTATTCTGCTGCCTTGGCTCTGCTGTGCCGGTTCCAGCTGGAGGCTGGGGGCTTCCTCTGGCTGCAGGGCCGTGCAGGCAGTGTGTGGGCAGTGTGTGGGCAGTGTGCAGGCAGGGCTGCCTCGCAGGTGAGCAGCTGCTGGCTGAGAGCCAGCGGGACACGAAGGCCAGCACTGTGGCCATGCACAGGGGTGACAGGAGCATGTACTGCTCCCCTCTCCCATGGCAACAGGCCATACAGGCTCTGCATGGCATCCCCCAGCTTCTCTGAGGCTTTGCCCTGTGTCTCTGATCCCCTCCTAAGGATTTCTTAGAAGTCTTGAGAACAGGCGGCTGTGGTGTGCAATGAGCCTTCACTGGGTTAGAGATGCAGTTGGTGAGGTACATGCTGTGGCCTGGACAGTTTTCTCTTTGACTCTATAAAGCAACATTTCCTGCCCTTGCTGCAGGAAATGTCTGTACCCAGAGGGTCAGCAGAGTCACCCTGACTGCAGAGGCCAGCAGTTCACCAGTACCAGCTGCAGGTGATGGAGAGGGATCCATGGACACAGCTCTGTATAGAGCTGCCTGCTGTCCTCTTAACCACTGGCTGAAATTTCTCCTGACCTGGGGATTAAGTTTTTCTGTGACTCTGCCCAAATTAATTACCCAGGGTCTGTAATCCCATTGTGCCCTCCCCGTGGCATCTGTAATAACTTAATTGCAGCCTGATACCTGGGGTGAGGGGCACCAGGTTGCCTGACACAGGTCAGGGAACTGGGCTTTATTTGAATGGAGAGATATATTCCTGACAAACATAAATAATTAACAGGGTTGCAGGGTGAGCTGGCAGCCAGCATGTCCAAAAAAAGACAGGTTTCAATTTCCCCCCTCTCAGTTTCAGGATATGAAACAAGCAGTTTAAGTCTTCAGCCCTGGATAACGTGGTGGGAAAGTGTGCGCGTAGGAGACCCCTAATGAAGTTTTACCCCGTGTCTGGGGGAAGGCAGGGTTCAGCCTCACACCTCCTCAAGGTGCCTGTACACATGATGATCCCTACCCTTACTGTCGGTTCCAGGCACCACAGCAAAGTCTTCCAGCTTCCAGCATCTCCCACTGCCTCCTCAGGGTGGAGAGATGTCGGATGTCTTGTTTAATTAATTCAGAAAGGTGCCTGGCTATTGTCAGGGCAAAACTGCACTGTTGGGACCATGAGTGTCACCATTTGACACTGCTGTAGGTGTGGGGGAGGATTTTCAGAAAAGCCTGGTTAGCCTCATCATTCTCATTTGCCTCTGCAAAAGCTTCTGTACAGCTCTGAGAGGAGAAAGCACTGGGGTGCATTTAAAATGTCCTCCCCTCTGTCATGTCTGCACAGCCTCAGGACTTTGTTCTCTCTGTAAGGGGTGTCCAGGAGCACAGCCCCTTGCAGGCAGCACTTGTATAGGTGCATAGGTGCTGTACAAAACCAAAGCACTGTGCTGGGGTATTGTCCTGCTACCAAACCTGCCCTAAGAGGAACCATCCTTTCATTAGAAGACTGAAAGACAGAGCTATTGCTGCTTGCTCTGTCCCTGCTGATGTCCCTTCCTTGCCCACTCCTGCCCATCCAGACAGGGAGGGGGCCTGTGTAACTAACTTGTCTTGATGGATTCGCACAAGTGCCCAGCACAGCGGAGCGTGCAGCCAAGCCCAGCTGCTGGAGGCTGAATGTCACCCAGTCAGGGGAGCTGGGCCAGGCAGGAGGAGGGGCCACAGCCACTCTGCGGAGACAGAGGAGTCTTATAAACTCAGGAGTTTCTAGTTGGCAGCACAATGTCGCCTTTCTTCCTGGGCTCAGGCCCTCTCTGTGCCCTGTTTATCATCCCCGGTGCTGTGCATTCCCTGGGCTGCTTGCAGCCACGCAGCTGATTTGCCTCTGTGATGCCAGAGCCACCTAGAATTAAATTAGGAAAGATTTCTCTTCTCCATCCAGCTCCAGTTACAAGGCAACAGGCCATGTCTCTGCTGCTGCAATCCTCCCAGCTTTGCTGCTTGCCCTGACCTTTCTTCCTTGGGCTCCTTGCTCACCAGGAGCCCTTGGGTGTGTGGTGCCACCCCCCCGGGCAGTTTAGATATGATAGGATTTGGGCTAGAAAGAGAGGTCTGGGCTCTCTGTGTGCTTGATCCTCCTCTATGGTCTGTTTTTCTAGCAGGGGCTGATAATCTAAAATTTCTCACTAGAAGGAAGCAGAAATACTAAAATCTCTTAATGCCAAGCCAGGGCTGCAGGCAGGCGTTATTTCAGCGTGCTCAGCAGGAAGGGTCAGCACTGGTGCTCGGAGACCAGCCACATTCCCGAAGCCATGGAGGCCACTGCATCAGCAGTGAAGCAAGGGCCTGTCCCAGCTCTCCCCTCCCTGCACTTGTTAGGGTCCAGCTCTCCCTTCCTTTGGGTCACTCTGTGCCCATGGTGTTGTGCTCCAGAGGGTGTCGACCTGCACAGACCTCCTTGGGCAGAACAGCTCTTGTACATGAGCTCCTGGGCACACTCACCCTGTGCTGACGGTGCCCTTGGTGCACGACCTGTGCCCGTTTTGGATCTGAGCTGGGTTCTTGTAGTGCTGCTATTTCAGCCAGGGTGGACATAAGCAACATAAGGTGGGGTTGGGACAGGGAGGAAGCTGAGGAGCAGGGGGTGCCCTCCAAATGGGAAGGCACAGGTCACGTAAAAACACTCCCATTAAAAACACATACTCTTGGCTTCTATTCTTGCTTCTGGCCAAATCAGTGTATCCTGAATTTGCAAAGCAGGTGTTTTTAAGGGGCACTTATCTTGTTGCTTGCCAGGTCCTAAATTTCCATTCCTTTGAAAAAAAGGGCCAGATAGTTCTAAGCTAGGAAGTCAGACTAAGTAGCCGTGTTTTAGAAAATCCATTGACATTTCTGTGTGCATGAATTGGGAATGATGGTGATGCTTATCTGTAACTACAATCCGCAAAAGCCCCAAGCAGGAGACTGTTACTGCATATTCCAGAGGAGACACATATAGCAAACAGAGGAATTTCTCAGCTGCCTGCAATGGACAGCCATGGATTGAGTTGGAGGGACAGAGGTGATAGGGTTTCAAAACAGCTGCTAGACTGATGACTTCTGGGGCCCTAAAATTAAAGCCTAGCTCAGTTTTCAGTCCCAGAGCAGCGCTTTGAGCAGCCAACACTTATCTGTCAATAATGTTCTTTTCCCTTTTGGAGGCAGCAGAAAGTAAGTTAGACTACTGTAACTCAGGAGAAAAATCTGTTGATTTAGAAGACTCTGAAACTGCATGCAAGAAATACTTATTATTTACCAGTTAATTATTTCTAGTAAGTCTGAGCACAGGAAGGCAAAGTGATCTCGTTAACTCCTGCCAGAATCTCCTCTCAGGATACTTCATAAAGACTTTGGAGACAGGAGTGTCAGGCTACAAATCCCAGGGAACACCTCCTTCACCACTGATGGTGCACGTAGTATAGTGGTGTCTGCCTTATTTTTTAGTAGGCTGCCCTCTCCCTAATCCTGCCAAACTCTGCAGTAAAATCTTGTATTGCAGTGGGAGTGGTCCA